GTCAGTAAAAAAGACAAAAAGGAAAAGAAAAAAAAAGCTCTCCCTTTCACACTCAAAATATTTCAGTTCGGATAAATTTGTTTGGTCACCTGTCAAAGAGTATTTGCTTATTTATTCATAACACAGCGTTAGGAGGGAGAAAAACAGAGGCAAATGGAAGGAAGAGGGAGGAGAAGATAAAACAGATGCGCAGAGGAAAGGACAGAGTTCTCAGTCACCGTGCCTTCCCTGTCTTGCCCGTCTGCCACTGCCCTCTCCTACCCAGTTTGGTAGCTGTGATATTCCAGTGATATGTTTTTGCTTCATCAGCACAGAGACAGCTGGAGGCCCGAGAATCTGCCCATGGTTCCACCTGGTACTCATCTGATTCAGCCAGGTTAGTCTGAACCTAAAGAGGACATTTAAGAGATAAAGGACATGAGCAAAGGAGACAGCACACAGAGGCCTAGGGAGCCTTGGGGCTGAGACACCAAAATCTCATCTCTTTCCCAGGGACAAACGAGGGCAAGGGGCATGGGTCCAGGCTGCTTCCTGTTTCTCCGGCCCTCACCCTGATGCAGTCCTTTAGATAATTGAAGATGGTGGCAGTAAGACGGAAGGTTTCCCCACGAACTACTGAGTAAGGGAGAGTCAGATCAACAAAGAACGGCTTGAAAGCAGTGAGTCCAACCGTGGATGAAAGACCGAAGCCTCTGGATGGGGAGGTGCAGAAAGTCATGGCCTTCCACTCAGTGACGGCGTCGGGAACTGTGACGTGGACTGCCTCCTTTCCTGAGTTGCTGTGAGAACACGAGAACCCAAGTGAGGCAGAGGCAGCACAGGGGGAGGCAGTATTTGTGAATTAGCCTACAAATTCATCTGCAGAAGTGAAGCTGGATGGGGAGGTGCAGAAAGTCATGGCCTTCCACTCAGTGACGGCGTCGGGAACTGTGACATGGACTGCCTCCTTTCCTGAGTTGCTGTGAGAACACGAGAACCCAAGTGAGACAGAGGCAGCACAGGGGGAGGCAGTATTTGTGAATTAGCCTACAAATTCATCTGCAGAAGTGAAGTTTTATTGCCGTGCAGGGAAAAGTAAGGAGGCAACTGAACTGGGGGAACATGTGAACCTCAGCGTGAATCCTCCAATGAGTGAGGCTGTACAGACACAGAAGGGAGTGACAGGGTATGTGGGGAGTGGGTGGGTGGGCATGTGTGCACAAGCACATCTGAAAGAGAGGCCAGTGCCCTCTGAGTCTGTGAGGAGAAGTGTTCTTGTGTCTTGTCAAAATGAGCAGGTAAGCAGTGAGCAAGAACTGATGTCAATATGTGCCTTTAAATCAGTGTGGATCTGGGGCCGGCCCGTGGCTCACTAGGGAGGCTGTGGTGCTGATAGCACCAAGGCCACGGGTTCGGATCCCATACAGGGATGGTCGGTTAGCTCACTGGGTGAGCGTGGTGCCAACAACACCAAGTCAAGGGTTAAGATCCCCTTACCGGTCATCTTTATATGGGAAGAAAAAAAATAAACAAATAAATCTGTGTGGATCTGGAGTGAGAACGCCCAGTCTGCACTGTGTGAATGGGAAGCCGTGTGGATTTCTTCTGGGAGATTGTATATGATTGTGTAAGAATTCAGGGAAAGAACCAAGTTCCCACACCCCATCAAATTTTCTTGGCCTGAGACTTAGACTCATTAGACATGATCTGAAAGAACTTTGCACTGTATAATCTTGCTATACTTTTGAATCATCACTTACCCAATAGGAAGCAGATCCCAGAGCCAGGTCTCCGGGAAGTACTGGCGGACCTGAGAATCCGCTGACTGAAGCGATGAAGATGATGATTCAACATGATGGTACTGTGGACCATCACCAGCTGAGAATTTTGAAAAACAGAAGACTTCTGTTGTAAGATAAATCAGAAATTTGGAGGGAAGTAGAGAACATCTGGTCAAAGACAAGGAGGAAAGACCACTGAGGAACCGACTAGTCACAGGGGCCATCAAAGAAAAGTGAGAGAAGAGGAGGGTTGACCAGGGAATGAACAGACAAGGGCTTCAGGCTTCAAAAGCCCTTCACAGAGAGAGAAATCCTTGGGAAATGTCCCGCAGCTATGAGCCACACCCCGTTAGCATTCTAGGGCTGGAGGCTCAGTGCAAGAGCAGGAGGCAAAGAGGGAGTTTTCGGAGTTCCAGGACTCTAACCATCTCAGAGACTCCACAGGCTGCAGAGGTGGCTTACCCTCGCCCATTGCAGAGCCGTATTTTGGAGATCGGTAAGTGCAATCTACTGGTTTCTTGATTTTGGCATTGGACAGTATTTTCAGGCCCATGTCCTAATAGACACCAAAGAGACCAGATAATGAAGTGTCAACGTGTTCCCTTCCTCTAGTCCAAGGGTTACTGCCCCCAATTCCATCCTCAAAGGGTTGAACCAAAAACATTATTTTCTTATTAATAGCGACACTGGTGGCTATTACCCAGTACTCAGCCACCAAAATTGGTTCACTTCTATTCCAGCTAGTATTAAAGGCTTTTAATTACATTTATTTCATCATTAAGTATGTTTAATCCTTCTTCCAAATATTAGTCACTGTGTCCTCATTATTTGACTTGCATTCTAAACTTTCTGAGGACAGGGACCATACCTGCTTAACCAACTCAACAAAAACACGATGAGCATCATGAAGGGTCAGGCATTAGAGAGAGGACAAAGATAAACGAGACATGGTTTCTGACCTCACAGACCTCCTGGTCAGACGTGGGTCACCGAGCATCCCAACCCCTGCTCATAAAATAGGTGCAAAATGTTATTTATAATAATGATGAGAGACCTCTGGTCTACCCTCCCTCATTTTCCTTCTTGAATGATCCCATGGAAATCAATGCTTGGGAACCACGGAAAGAGGAGGACTAGGTTTATAACCTCTCACAGTGGTTCTCTTCTGATACGACTGGACAACTTCTGCAAGCATAAGGGCCAAGATAGGCCACCTTCCATGTCAGAACTTCTTTCAAGATTTTGCTCCGGTCAGTGCCCACATGAGTCTCTCTGTTTCCTTAGTATGGATTTTCCTTTCCCGTCTCCCACCACCATTGTTTCTGTGAGAACAAAATGGATAAAAACACCTACCTGGAAAAAACTGAAAAGGTCCACGCCTTCGGAGAACTGGGGCCTCCAGATCATAGAATGCTCTGCAGGCGCTGGGTCCACTAGAGGCTGAGGAAAGTCCCATGGGCCAGACACTGGACAGTCGTCATCGTCAGCCACCTTGTAGGAGTAGTGTCCATACCGGAGCGGGAACATCCCATAGACCTGAGATGAGAGTGGAAGAGGAAATGAAGTACTGGCCATGAAATCCGTGCAGAAACCTCGGACTCTGCTGCGACAGTTCACTACTCCCACATTATTTCTCTTCGTTACTCCAGAACTCTTCTTGTATTCACTCCATCAAAACCACCATCCTTTCTTTTTAAATTTTAACCTCCATCTCACCTTTTTCATAATCCACATATCTCCCATTTCATCCTCTTTCTTCATCTCTATGTCCATATTAGCGAGGCCCTTTTCATACCATCCTTTCTACCTTCATTTCTGCACCAGCTTTTCTACACCTTATGGTGGTGCGTTGTTTCCCTAAGACTTTCTCTCTGCTCCCTGACATCTGCCTCTCGTTCTGATGCAGTCAAGTTGTCTTCCCTGTCAGCTCCCACACCCCATTAGCAGACGACTCACAGAGCTATTGCTCAGCTCTTTCTCTGTCCTAAGTAGTAAGACGCTCTCATCCACAGCCCGGATTGCACACAGGGATCCGGGAGCTGCCTGCAGCTCTAGTTCCACATCTGCTCCTGGAAGCTGCTGGGAAGGTGAGAAGCCAAGGGAAACCTGGGGAAGGGAAAGAGGTAACTTGGGGATCAGGTCAGCCTGGAGAGAAGGGGGACCAAGGTAACGGATCATTAGCCCCAGCTATGGTATCCAACCCATTCCTTCACTTTTTAATTTATTTTTCATTGTTAAAGTCTAGATCTTTAGGACTAGTATGTTATAGAGGTGGAAAAAGTGAGCAGCACAGTAGAATGATAAAGAATGTTTAGAGACAAAAGTAGAAAGGAAGAGAATACGTGGTGGGCCGGCCCGGTGGCGCACTGCTACAGTGCGGCGCTTGGGAGCGCGGCGGCGCTCCCGCCTGAGGGTTCGGATCCCACATACAGACCAGTTCCCGCTCACTGGCTGAGCGAGGTGCGGGTGCAACACCGAGGGTTGCGATCCCGTTGCCGGTCCCCGGTCCGGTACGGGCGCAACACTGAGGGTTGCGATCCGTTGCCGGACATGAAAAAAGACAAAAAGGAAAAAAAAAAAAAAAGAGAATACGTGGAATAGCTATATAGAACATGTGACTGCCAGGCATGACTTCTGAAAAAGCAGGAGTAGAGACATAGATTTCAACAATAAATCTGAAACACTGCAGATATAAATACAACGTGACATCTGGCTTCCATATTGTCTTCTTATTTCTTTGAGCCTGCCTTGTCTCCAGCCCCAGCACACAAGATCCTTCTCCACACCCAACTCTTTTCTTTGCTCTCCTCAACTGCCATTTTACCTGATTGTCAAAGCACATCTCTACTGAGAACTGAGTTTTGTCAGCTACAACACCCCCATTGGCGAAAATGGCGTAGATCAGCAGGGAAGGACTAGGGGCTAGTCTGGAAGTGAAGGTCAGTGAGAGAGAGAAGGAGCCTTTCAGTCCTGAAAGAGAGGAAGGGATGACAGGGGAATGACAGCGCACGTTTACCACGAAGGGACCCCTCCCCACGGATTTGCACTTCTCTTTGGGTCAGCTGCAGACCTCACGGTGCAAGTGACTTCTCACTTTTCTTTTGTGTTTATTGTTAGTACTCTGTTCTCATTGCTTCTGTGTATCAGAATTGTTTCCTGGAAGTTCTAAACATCCTTTTCTCATCCAGGAGAAACATGTGCACTCACCTTTCTCCTTGGAGCTCAGGTGCTTCTGCCCCTCCATCTCCACACTCCCTTTCCCTATTAACTAAGGAAGAGAAGAAAATAGTCAACAGCACGGAAGTTACGGGAGTTCCGCCTTGGCCCTACTTCTGGAGCATCTCTGCACCCTCCACGAGGAGAGGCTCTTTCATGGTTCCACCTGCATCACTGCTTCACAGAGCACCCGCTAGCTTGTCACAAGCAGGAAGTGGCCAGCAGGTCCTCCAGGTGTACGTCTGATTAAGGGCACAGGGGTGGGTGGGAGGACACAGAAGGGTCAGACAGCATAGAAGCCACTACGCACAATAGTACCTGTCCACCAGTTTTTGAAGGTCTCTAGGCTTGATTCTTTTATAATCCTTGAAACACAAAGTCAGCCACAATCCACCCTCATAAATTGGGGTTTTTTGGGGGGGACTCAATTGAAAATTGAGGGGAAATGAGTGCACCTTCTTGAACTATCCCGAGCCTTCCTGACATGTGACTGGATAGACGAGAAATCTCCTTTTCTGACTCTCCCTTCCTGATGGCTCTCTCTTGAAACAGAATTCAGTGAGACCGCTTCTCAGCAGGCTGCCATCGGAGCTCCTGCCCAGGCCCCTCGGCTCAGTCCTCGGGGCCTGACACTCAACCATTCCACCCTGCTCAGCCCCACTTCGCTTTCTCCTAAGCCCCCACCCTCTGTCCTGCAGACAGCGCCTGCCACCGCTCTGCCGTGTGGTTTGCCACCTGCCCCTCCTCATCTGTTGTGTCTGCACAACTGTTTTTAGCTTGATGAAAACACTGAAATGATAAAAAATACTGGAATAATCCAGAGGGGAGAAAGTCTCCCAGAGACTGAGAGGATGATAAGGTAATAAAGAGACTCTGGACCATCAAACCTAAAGTTTCCGTGGCTCCAATTCCCCACTGTCACCACGGCTGACCAGGAAAGTTGCTTTTCCTTACAGATTTCTTTCAAGCTACCAAGTTGTAATTTTATTTCCCTTACAAAGTTGCTATCAATGTTAATTTTAACCTATATCATCTATTTAAAAATACTGACCAATGAAACAGAATGAAATTCATCCCGAGTCCCATGCCATCCTCACCCAACGTCCCATCCATCCGCTCACCCCTTTTTGGCCCTGGCCTGCGGCATTTACTCAGTTAATTCCTTATTTTATTTCCCCACACAATTTCCCTGGGTTCCTGCTCAAAGTCTCTGTATTCCTTACTTTGCCCCATGCTTTACACCTACACTGTACAACACAGTTGTCCCTTGACACATGTGCATATTGAATCCCTGAAAGTGGCTAGTCCAAACTGAGATATGCTTTAAGTACAAAATACATACTGAGCTTTAGAGTAAGTCAAAACAAAAAGTATAAAATATCTATTAATAATTTTGTGCATTTATTTCCTGTTGAAATGATAATATTTTTGATATATTGGGTTAAATAAAATATATATTTTAAATTAATTTCACCTATTCTCTTACTTTTTTTTTAATGTGGCTTCTAAAAATTTTGAAATTATATATCTCTTGCATTGTATGTCCACCTGGATGGTTTATCCACCCTGTCTGACTCTCCTCTTTCCCTTTCCTTCCAACATACTTCCACCAATGCCCATTGCCAAGTCTCACATAGTAGGAGAAGACTATTTCCTGGTCAGGGCTTGCATCGGCTGGATCAACGTGGTAGTCTACCAGCACTTCATGGGGTAGGCCGCATCTCAAGAGGTCGCCTCGCCGCTGGATGCCGAGGAAGCTGCGGGTTGTGTTGTAGAAGGGTCGCAGGTACACATAGGCATTTTTGTAGTAATGAGGCACTTGTTCAGGATTATATACTAAATCTTCCATTTGGAACTTGCCCTAAGAGAAAGAGAGAAAAAAAGAAAGAGAGGGCCGGCCCGGTGGTGAACTCGGTTGAGTGCGGCGCTTGGGAGCGCAGCGGCACTCCCACCGAGGGTTCAGATCCCATATAGAGACCGGTCCGCTCACTGGCTGAGCGCGGTGCGGGCGCGACACCGAGGGTTGCGATCCTGTTACCAGTCATGAAAAAAGACAAAAATGAAGAACGCTCACTGGCTGAGCGCGGTACGGGCGCGACACCGAGGGTTGCGATCCCGTTACCAGTCATGAAAAAAGACAAAAATGAAGAAAAAAAAAAAAAGAAAGAAAGAGAAACTCCTTATAGCATGTATCCCCAATCATATGAACTCCATGGACTTGTTATGGTTTGGAGTGAGCAGGACTGAAGCCATGTTGGGACCCAAATTTTAGACAGACAGTCTTTTTCTTGGCATGCACTTCTCTGAGCTCCCTCTTTTCCCATGGTTATTTGATATTTTGAACCTTGGTTATGAGGCAAGATGACATTATTTACATGAATGTAAAGCTGTGTTCCAGCCAGCCTGAAGCTGCAGGCTCGCACGTGCTATCCAGACCCTGAGATAAGGACGGGAGCAGAAACAGATGAGGCCTTGGCGAGACCTTGCACCTGACAAGTGTCTCACGTGCCCCTCCATCCTACTTTTCATTCTCACATTCCATTCCTTCATCCCTTGGCTTTACAAAGCCTTCAGTAAACCTGAGTCTTCGAGATGGCTTTAGCCTGGCAGTTCCCCTACAGGTTTACCAGAGAGATCGGTCAGCCTGACATCTCTCCTCAGGCCGTGGGTATTCCTGAGTAAAAGCTGACTTCCACTTTCATCAACATTGACTTTTGATTGGTTTGCTTTTGTCTGGGGCAGGCAGCCAGACCTGTGAGTTTGGTACCAATTTGGGAGATTGTCAGCCAGGAGCTGAGCGTGCCTGTAACAGGAAGAGGATGACTTGACTCTGAACCATTTTTTCCTCCCTATTCTTATTTCATACATAGGATCAGATAGAGGTGGGGATAAGCTATAAGATGAATTAGCAGAAATAGTAGTTTTGACCTGAAGGGTTATTTGATTGATATGAAAGACAGAAAGGCTCTAAGAAAAAAGTCTTGGCAAGATTGATGAGTGAAAGATATGGAATTACAGGTTGCGGGGAGGATAACAAACAGAACATTCTAAAGTTTTCCTTCAGGGAAGCCTTCCTTTCTAGGAAGCTGGTCCTCCCCTGTACTTACCTCCAGAGAAATGTCTGTCCCATTCCAATTTTCTGTATCCAGCTTGAAGAGAGCAAGGCCACTGTTGTCAGTAACTAGGGTCTGGTTGATGCTTCCATTTGTGCTGTGAATCACCAGAAACACTGGATGATTCTTGAGGAGGGAGCCGTCATGGCCCCTAACTCTTATCTGAGGGATGAAGGGCATTAGGGCATTAGGACTAGGTTTGGAGTAGGCTTGAGTGTGCAGTAAAGTTAAGTGATAACAGAAATCCTAAGAATACATTTCAAGAAGGAGTCCAGAAAAAGGTAAATGTGATTCAAGCATTAAAAACTAGCATCTCTGGGGGGCTGGTGGGTTAGCACAGCTGGTTAGAACACAGCCTTGTAACCCCAAGGTCACGGTTCATATCCCTGTATCAGCCAGCTGCCTAAAAAAGAAGAAGAAACTGGGATCTTTGAGGAATTGAGAAAAAAAACAGAAGTAGCAGCCTGGAGCAGAACTAGATTTGTGATAGCTAATGAAGCCTTAAGGCCCTTAATTAACACAGACTTCTTCCAAAGTTGTGCTTTTTATTTTTTGCTTTCTTTTTCTTAAAGAGAGCCTCCTTTCCCCCCCAAACTGTATAATCCTTAGGCTCTAAAAGCAAACAAACAAAAATCTGGATTTACTCTTGGTCTAGAGAAAAGATGACTAAGGAATAAATGGGCCTAAATATATACAATATTATTGTGTTCACCAGTTGTTTGGGAAGTAAAGAAAGATAAACTGAAAGGAGAGGGAGATTTGGTTAGATATCAGAAAGAAGATGCAAACAAAGAAAAAATTTAAATTTCTAAAGAAGATGCCAAAGGGGCCATAAATGGCTCTCTGTCAAGGAAAGTCTGATGTTAACCTTGCCTAGGTGCGGGAAGGAGCCCAGACTACATGATTTCTCCAGAAACCTTGCAGCTCTTAAATTCAAAGATTTGGACATTAGAAGATGGGAGTCTGACATTAGAAAGGGCCCTGAGATGACATCAATATTCAAGGCACCTCTCATGTGGGATTAAGGGCATCGCAGCACAAGGAGTTAGGTGTGGATACTCTGGATGCCGGTTCCTGGCTTCGGTCACAGTAACCACTTACTAGTTCTATAACCTTAGGAAAATCACTTAACCTCTTTTGCCTCAGTCTCCTCATCTGTAAAATGGGGTCAATAATAGTGTCTACCTCATAGGATTGTGGTAAAGATTAAATAAGTGTAAAGCACCTAGAACAATGCTAAGTTAGCTATTTGCTATGATTTGAATGTGTCTCCCAAAAGTACGTGCCTTGGAAAATTGTCCCCAAAGTAGCAGTGTTGAAAGGCGGAAACTTTGGGAGAGGAGTGCTCTGCTAATCCATTCGTGTTAATAGATTAATGGATTAAGGGGTTGTTGCGGGAGTGGGTTATCACGGGAGCGGGTCTGTTATAAAAGCCAGTTATAAAGAAAAAAGGTAAAAGCCAGTTTAGCCGTCTCTTGTGAGTCCCCTCACCATGTGATGCCCTGTGCCACCTCGGGACTCTGAAGAGGGTCCCCACCAGCAAGAAGGCCCTTACAAGATGCGGCCCCTACATCTTGGACTTTCCAGCCTCCAGAACTGTGAGAAACAAATCTATTTTCTTTATAAATTGGCCAGTCTGAGGTATCCAGTTATGTCAACAGGAAATGGACTCAGACATTATTACTATACGTCTACAGGAAGGAGGCAAACACGCATCGTTAAGCGTTTTTTGTCTATGCAGACAAGTTTCAACGCACCTTTCTGATGCGGCCCCTACATCTTGGACTTTCCAGCCTCCAGAACTGTGAGAAACAAATCTATTTTCCTTATAAATTGCCCAGTCTGAGGTATCCAGTTATGTCAACAGGAAATGGACTCAGACATTATTACTATACGTCTACAGGAAGGAGGCAAACACGCATCATTAAGCGTTTTTTGTCTATGCAGACAAGTTTCAACGCACCTTTCTGCTGAAGGGGAAACTCGGATAATAAAAATTGTTGGTGTCTTCAAAGGTCATTGATCCCATTTGTGAAGAAATGTCGATATTCCGAGTGGTATTGGCCTCCACTCCTGCAGAGAAACCAGATGTGTAATAATCCAACTACCTAATATCCTCATCTTCACATTTAACATAAAATTCCTGAGAGGATGGTGTGACTGGAAGTACGAAGTTGAATATACTTCAGACCAAAAATCCAAACCAACTCCTCCTCCCCAAATTTTTGGGAAAATAGATAGTGAAGGGCAGCGTGGAATCTGGCATTTCCCCTTGACTGCAGACTAGGAACAGGGTACCTCCCACACACTCGAGAGGGCAGGTCTCAGATCCTCTGAGCAAGTCTGTCCCTGAGACAGTCCTTTTCCTTTCTCTCTTCTTAATGAGCCAAGGAGTCCCTGCTTACCTGTCCCTTCCTCCACCACAGTAGCCACAATATCGATGTCGTGGCGGTATGTGGATCCAGTGAAGTTGAAGGTGGACATGTCCACAGATGCTGAGAAGCAACCTCCTTTGTCAGTCTAGAGAGGCGATCAGAGAGAGAAGGTGAGTAATCTCTACTTCCATTTCACAATGCACTGTAGAAGGAAACGATTTTTTATCGCCATACTTTAGTTTCTCCGTCTTTAAGACAGAAAGCCCCTCCTATAACATGGAGAACACACCCACAGATACATAACCATGAAACGACTTTGAAGCTCCAAGGTATGAGACGGGGGAAGAACCACCTGCAGAACTGGAAAATTGTCTCTTACAAAAGTTCAGGTTAATTTCTTGATTTCAAGGCAGACTCTGAAAGACTGTTTACAATAAAGAGCACAGCTTTGGTCTTTGGTGCTGCAACAATAATCCTGTGAGATGCTTTCCGCTTTAGGCTTCTGGCCACTCTTCTATATTGGTGCTTACTTACTTTTCAGGACATGTGGTTAACGTTCCTTTTCTACATCCAGTCACTCACCTGTCCCGAGAGATTGCTGCATTTGTCGGGGAGCTGCTGCTGTTCTGCCTCTCCATACCAGTAAGCGTATGGCCTCTGACACACTGACACCTGCACTGTCCCTTGCAGGGGCTTTCCATAGGTGTACCTAACCAAGAAAAGCGTGCCGAGTCGGGGGGAGGGGGGGGATTCCACTTGAGATCCAGCCCTCATCCCCCAAACACCACTGCTTCTTTCCCCACACACCAGCCACTGAAGTCCTCTGACAATTATTTTTCTAGCTCTCTTTTCCTTTCCTGCTTTACTCAGAGCCTGAGTATTTCCATTACACAATAAGCACCATCCTAAGTACAGAAACCGTTCTCTTTTTTCTGCTTAATCGTATTTCTACATGGGATTCGATATTGTGTTCTACACAAAGTAGAGACTAAGTCAATAATGCAGAGTGAGAGAGCAATGGGATGTAGGAGCAGAAACACAATACGAAAATGTGCTCGTGGGCAAGCCACGACTCTGAATGACATAAAATATCCCACGTGTTAGCTTACGCCCACGATCCCTCTCCCCGTATCATTCCCCCATCACCTCTCTCAATACAGCTTTAGTCTCCACCAGACCCAGATTTCTACCCTTACCTGCAACAAACTTTTACTAAGAAAGATTCCACCGCCGTTGACAACTGTGTGGGTTCCACCACTTCTACCTTAAACTTCGGCAGCACTGAAAAGAATGAAAAGAAAATTGGAAAAAGAATAGGAGAAGGACTTGACCGAATAGGTAGTGAACAGAAGGGTCTAAAAATAGTAATAATTAAATTAATTAATTTAATTAAGTGTGCATTATTAGTGTAAAATGCTCCTGAAGTTATTAGCTGGTTTAGCACCTATTTAAAAATGAATAAATAATCCCTCCGCATAGTAGATTTTACTTTACCTTTGCTGATTTTGAGACAAGATTATGGCCAACACTTTGACCTGTTAATTCCCCCACCTACCATATTCTTCCACATTGAAAGTGCCAAAGGTCTTGCCCTCAGCCACTGCCACTGTATAGGTGCCCAGCGTAGCCTCTGGTGCCAGTTGGAAGGACAGGTCCACAATGCCTTGGTTGGGCACCACTTCCAGCCACTGTGCAATCCTGTTGCTATTTGGATCCTGTGTCCAATAAAGAGAAACTGCACAATGTGCCTGCCTGACTGCTTCTCACTCTGCACTGCAAAATGCAGGTAAAGAAGCAAAAAGCAGGTAAAGAATCCCGCCCATTGTTCATGACCCCCGTGGTCCGTGTGCAGGAAGAGCAGCTCTCTGCATTATGTAGAACTGTCTTCATTACTGAATGAGATAAATGTTCCTATAGATCCAGCCCTGTTGGGAGGAAAAGGGTTCTTGTGCATCCAAATGATCGTACTGAGTCCTCTAAAGTGTTACCACCAGTTTCCGAAGGCGGACTTTGGGACATCATTTACAAAGAGTGTTTATTTCTGGTCCCTATGAAGGGACAGGGGCTGACTGGTTAGCTCCGTTGGTTAGAGCGCAGCCTTGCAACACCAAGGTCAAGGGCTCAGTTCCCAGTACTGGCCAGCTGCCGAAAAAGAAAAAAAAAAAATCCTATTAAGAGACAAAGCTGAGGGAATTGATTATAAGATACCTGAAAGATATGCGATTTAATAAAGAAAATACTGTGGGGAATTCACTCTTCTTCCCCCTTCCTTTGACGTACTTCTCACAGGCATTCACGTTCCTATTCAACTGTGAGTGTCTATGACAAGGGTTACTACCTAAGACTCAGAGGGACATAGAACCAAGCCTGGTCAAACTGGCACGACGCAGAGACGTTACAGGAGTCAGAGGGGCGCCTGCACAGCACAGGTCGGCGTCTTGTCTACAGAGCGCTGGGTCTGAGAGAGCAGGAGGGCAGGGGCAAGAGAACAGGCACAGTTTACGTGAAATTTTAGGTTCCTGGTGCCGGGGCAGAGTCCTGGGGCTCTGGGCCAAGCTCTCAGAGTCGTTTCTGCCTTCAAAATTGAGCACCAAACTCCCATTCTTATTTTATTTTATTTTTTTACAACTAACAGAGAAGAAAAGGAAACTTCTACTTACTTGTAGTTCCACCATGGAGTACTGAAAAGAAAAGCCAGATAGTGTGGGTTAAAATAGGATACACAATAAGGGTAAGTTTGCTGAAAGCAAAAATTCACAAAGGGACTCTTCCTTTCTGAACAGATTTCTGTGCCCTGAGAAGGGTAATAGTGGGGACAAAGACTTACTGGTGTGAAAGAGAGAGAGATTTCCTCAAAGGGATTGCCAGTCCCCAAAAGATTTGAAGAAATAAAGTATCAGACCCTTCAGCAGCCGTAAGTACCCTGTAACTGAGCTCTTCTGCAACGAACATGCCCTAAAAGACAGTGTTAGCGCGAGGTCCTCCCAGGGTTAAATCTTGTCTTGGGAGCCAACAGTCTCCTGGCCTCCTCCTCTACTATCTGAGTGCCACTGAGCGGAGACCTTCATTTCAATCGTTGACAAAATACTTTTGAAAGAACTTTTCATTTAAAAGAGTTCTATTGAAGGATCATGTATAGTTTTCTCGAAAAAGGAAAAAATGGCTGCTAAATGGATGCTAGAACAATTAAGTTAGTGGGAAACAAGTCATCGTGCTGTCAATTAGCTCAGATTGAAAGCTGGAATTTAGATGTGGGGGGCTCAGAGAGGGTTCAAAGTTATCCACAGTGAAGACCAGTTTGGGTCTAAGTCGGAAAGGAGAGGGAATGAAATCAGGATGTTTGCTTTGGATTTTTTGGCCATGAACCATGTGATGCCAACCAGTAAAAAAGCTAAGCCTCACTAAATACAAGTATGGGCCTTGATATAAGGGATGGCGGCAATTCTTCAGACAAGCCAGAAATAAGGAGAGAGAAGGATCACGGTGAGACAGTATGTCCTCAGACCTGGGGCCGTGCAGAAGGCGGGCATCACTGAGATTGCTAGGGATTGCCATAAAATCCAGAAAAAGAACACTTCCTCAGATAACAAAGTATTTTTCTCACACAGGGGGACAAGAATTAGGAAGGACACCAGTTAGCCAGAAGTAGGCTCTGGAAGGCAATAAGTGTTTAACCGGGAAGGTAGCATTTCCAACTGGAGGCTGCTCAAGGTTTCTGAATAACTGGGGAGAGCAGCAAAACCAGACAGGCTCAGTTAACCTCAGGTGCGCTTTAGTCATTTGAGGATAAAATACTGTGTGCTGGAAACTCACAATTTTTGTTCCTCAGTTTCTTGCTAAAATTCCTTTGTTCATTTCAGTGTTTCAACCGAACTTGGAAGAAGAAGCTGGCTAGTGGCAGGGAGTAGGGAGGAAGGAATAATTTTACAAAAGAAACATAGCTGCATGATTTGAGCAGAGATCGTGCAACAGGGTAGTTAATGACATCACCCTCGAGAGGGCAGCAGAGTCTAAGACGGTGCGGGTGGTGGCCACACCTTGACCCCAGTGTTTCTTCTGCAGCTCTAGAATCAAGTCTGTTAAGAAGTAAGTACTCGGTATTATACAGAACTCCTGCTAAAGAAGACATCACCCTCGAGAGGGCAGCAGAGTCTAAGACGGTGCGGGTGGTGGCCACACCTTGACCCCGGTGTTTCCTCTGCAGCTCTAGAATCAAGTCTGTTAAGAAGTAAGTACTCGGTATTATACAGAACTCCTGCTAAAGAAGATACAGGTGATGGGATGGAGGGACTAGAAAGAATTCTAAACTGGGAAAGAAAGCAGCAGGAAGCTACCAGCAGGAAGCCCAGAGCTTCCCCGCACGTAGGAAAAGGAGGCAGCAGCTCTGAGAACGAGGACATGGAAAATGGAAACAAGGCCTTCCCTGTGTGTCTCTTAAAACATTGCATGTAGATACATAGGCTGCGACTGAAGTTGGAGAGGCAGCAGGGCTGTGTGACAGCTGTCTCGGGAGCGTGTGGAAATGACACCAGCCCCAAACCGAGATGAAACCTGTCGTAAGGCTTACGATTCCAGCGGTGGAGTTGCCCAAGGAAAATTTAGGTATTTGCTGACCGTGACCACATTCTCACCTTTCGCATGTGTTTATTTAACACTCCCTTAAGAGAATCGTCTACTTTATAAATTACCTTGTCTCGTAGTAAAAAACGATGGTGGGAGTGGATTTTCCCATTTCTTCCTTTTGTTAGATACACTCCTGTTTTATTTCTTAATATTCAAACTGCAAAGCCACTTAGCAGCACTCCTGAAGAGAAGGCGCCTTGAAGCTTGCAAAATCTTTTATAAAAGGACAGCGAGTGTAACCATCTCTCAGAAATATTAACTTAATGGATGTTAGATTCCAAAGCCAAGAACGAGTCACCTCTGCTCGTTCCAGGTAGGTAGAGGCTGGGAGGATGTAGTCTTCAGCTCCCACCGGTGTTCTGCAAGCCCGGGGCCTCATCTTGTCGCACCTACACTGAGAGCATTTGCGCCCTTGGAGAGAACCTCTTCTCCTTTTCCCTCTGCTCCCTGGTCTGCGACACTCCTGTCCCTTTCTCTCTTCCCAACTAAATTCTCACCTTGTCATTTACTGGAACAAAGTTGCTGTTCATGGTGACAATGCGGAAAAACACTAAAAAGGAACGGGCATCATTAGCAAAGGGGTTTTTTTCCCCCCCTCAGAATCTTTCTTCCACCCCTTCTGTTTTCCCACACATACTTCTGAGTCAGCAACACCCCATCCATTTTTACTTTCTTAAAAAACCCTAGACTGAGAGAGAGAGGTAAAGCTCAGTTTCTCTTCAGGCTCCTGACTGAAACCTCAGAATGGAATGTTCTCTTAGGAAGAATGAACAAATACAAAGAGCAGGAGCTCAAGCCAAATGCTCTTGATTTTGTATTCAGGCGGCTTGTTGCAAGACCCAGTGACCCAGTCACACTTGCCAAATCCCAGTGCAGGAGCAGTGAGTACTTTAGCTGGAGATGCGCCCACACAGGAGCGGCCCCACCTGCGGCTCTGGCTTTTGGTCTCCAGACTTTCCTCCCTCTCATGCCCCTCGTTCCCTGTGCCTGCCACGAAACCACACGCCCCTCTTTACCTAGTGCACTGCCGTTTCCCCAGGCTTCGGTCTAACCCCAAATGTGTGCCTCTTACCTTGCTGCCCTGGGGTGTAGATAGGTTTGTCGGTCTGTATAAAGGTGCCACTCCCCTGCCTCTGAATTAAAACCTTTTTCTTCTCCTCAAAGCTGATGTTATTTCCAACTCCTGACACCCGGATTGTGGCCACTTCTTCTGTGCCACCAGCAGGAGGTGGTACCTGGCCAAGAGAGGGGAGCTCTGGGAAGAAGTAGGAGGTTGGGGAAACAGAATCGACTGGGAGAGTAAAAGGAGAGAACTGAGTTAGACGGGGGTGCTAAGGTGGAGCCATAAACCAAGCTGTCAGGAAGAAGAAAAACAATATAGGCAGAGGTTAAGGTCAGGAATGAAAGAAGAAATCCAAGGTCAAGGAAATGATGGGCGAGTTGTGGCCAGGGACTGAAGTTCCGTTTAGGGGAGACAGGTTTAGAGGCTGTGGCACAAGTAAGATAGCAGAGATCAGACTCAGATTACAGCGAGTGCCTGGGAAGAACAGGACAGGAAGGGATTAGACTTAGGGCCAGTCTGTGCTTACTGAAAAGGAGACGCAATGTAAGTGCCTCTTCTTCAGTCCAGAGTCTTCTAGCAACTTCTGCTTCTTGTCCTTGGTCTCCAGAGTAATAGTGAATTTTACATCGCAGTTCCCAGGGCTCAGATCCAAACAAACCTTCTGAGTGGAGGGGAAGTCAAGCAGGGCTGGTAAGGTCACCAGGTAGTTCCTATCAAGGGAATAAAAGTATTTCAGAGTAATAGTGATTCATTCATTCAATGAAAAAATAAGCACTCTTTTAAGCAATCAGCATATAGCAGTGAATTAAAGAGACCAAGCCCCTGCCTTTATGAGCCTTATTTTCTGTAAGGGAGGAATAGACAAGTAACAAGTAACTCAGTGCACAGCCTTAAACCTCCCACCGCTAGGAGCCTGGAGAACCTGTGCCTGGAGTACTAAGGAGGAAACTAGGTCTGCTACAGAGAACAGGGTACAAGGAGTCTACTACATTTTAAAATTTATCTTTTTTGTAAGCTTCCTCTTGGTGCCTACCACTATTTTCTCTAGTGGTAAAAGGTCAATGGAACCAAAGAAGGGAAAAGATAAGAAAATCAAAATCAACCAGAGGTTATCTCCCTTTCCTTAGATTTATGTTTGAGAAAGACAGGCGAAGGAGTCACCTGCCCTAAATCAACTCCAACCCCATGCACTTACGGGAGGAGTTCTTCTGCAATGGCTGGCAGTAGGGCCAACATTCCTAGAAGGAGCTGAGCCCACATCTTTGTGGGTGACACAGGTGCCTTGGATCAGGAACCAGAGGTCTGCTCCTCTGCTGTAGCTTTATACTAGCCCCCAAGGAAAGGGGTGCAGCTCTGATTGCAGCTATGACTGAGGCTGTAGACAGTCAGCCCGAGGGGGCTGCAGGCGAAGGTGGTAGACCAGGGTAGGGCTGCTTTTCACTTCCTCAAATTCATTTCTCCCTGGGACATTCATACTGGTTCAGCCAGTCCATAATACCAGTTTTAATACCAGTTTTGAGGAAAAGCCAGAGATGAGTATTCATAGGGGTAAATCTCTCAGAACACACTTTGAACTCCTCCCTTGTTTTCTGGTTTCATTCCAAATTCCCACTGTCCCTTGATTTCCTTTTCTCCTTTTATTATTCTATTAAGGCATACTTGGGAACACAGCTATGGGGGCAGTATCAGTAGCAAAATTGTACATCTCTATGTAATTGGTAATTTAAAACAACTAATACTACTTGGTATTGTTGTAACTGTATGGAAATAGGGGCCTATACAGTCCTAGAAAAAATAGGAATCCGATGACCTTTCTGAGGGCAATTTCACAATACACATCAAAAGCCTTTAAGATCTGCATATTCTTTGACTCAGCAACTTCTACTCTGGAAATGTATCTTAATGCGGAAGAAGGGCATGCCTGCATGCAAAGATGTATCCCCACGGAGTTTCTTTCTTTCTTTCTTTCTTTCTTTTTTTTTTTTTTTTTTTTTTTTTTTTTTTTTTTTTTTGGTGACTGGCTGGTTTGGGGATCCAAACTCTTGACCTTGCTGTTACAAGGTGAGGCTCTAACCAACTGGGGTAACCGGCCAGCTCCCTGTATGGGGTTTCTTCACAGTGTTCTTTATAATGTAAAGACTTAGAAGCCACCATTCTCTTATAAATTAAAGAGGTTGCTTTCCTAAACAAATGGCCAAACGCACATCAAACCAGCTTGGATGAAAAAGGGTTTTTGGTAACTGGGGTGGATTAGACACGAAGAAAGAACTGAAAGAACCAGAGCAACCCCCCTTAACGGCCTGGAATCAGATTTGCTCCTGCCAAGATTCACTCCTCCCTGTCTTCCTGTCCTATGCACTTGTCTCTGATTGGCCTCATTTCCCCACTGCACACAGGCTTCTGCTCAGGTGTGGGGAACATGGCAGCTGCAAGTCCTCCACCTGTATTCTTCCAGCTCTGTGACTCCAGTCAACAAAATTTCCACCCATGTACAGACATTTCTGGAGAAGCACTTTGTTCCTCTTTCTCTCACACACTCACCTCTGAATCAATCACTGTAGCCAGGATATTACAATAGACAGAGCCTGGGCCCCTCTCCCATCCGGAGGCCAGGGTGATGGGGTACTGTGCTTAGCAATGCCACTAAAACCACACAGAGTTGGGGAGTAAAAATTCTCCAAAAACAGAGTCCACTACGATAGGAAGTGGGTTGGGGTCAAGATGTTGGAAAAATAAAATGTTAACTCTATTACAATGCCCCATCATATGAGTTTGGTTGAATAAACTGTCATGTTCATATAAAGCACTACTATGCAGCCATTAGAAATAACGTTCTCAGGGGAAAGGGAATTGTTTGCAATACTAATTGAATGGGAGGAGTGGAATATAATACAAAATAACATGTAGGAAGTTCCCCTTGCACTTGGGATACAAAAAGCTGGAAACAGCATTGCTCCCTCCCTGACAAAGAGAAAAAGCCAGAGTAACTGCGACACTGCCTTTCTTGAACCAAAAAGTTGAAACTAAGAACTGAGGGCCGACCTGTGGCTCACTCGGGAGGGTGCGGTGCTGATAACACCAAGGCCACGGGTTCGGATCCCATATAGGGATGGCCGGTTTGCTCACTGGCTGAGCGTGGTGCTGACAACACCAAGTCAAGGGTTGAGATCCCCTTACCGGTCATCTTTTAAAAAAAGAACTGAGCTGAGGCTGCAGTTCAACTTGGTAATCTGAAATCCAAGGAGGTACTACTCCTCAAAAAAGACAAAAAAAAAAAAAAAAAACAAAGTAGAGTTTGGTAGCCTGTTGCAGGGAGTAGGACAGGAACACTGAGAAAACTTCATCCTCCAGGGCCCAGGTATATAAAACCTACCTGAGACTGAAGATAAGGAGGACAACAGAGAACCACCATGTCCCTTCACCACCACCCTAGCGGAAACACCAAGTAAAAGTAGAAGCAGTCTGCCACTGGCAGAGGAGCAAGAACATGGACAGAGACTACTTCTGTGGTTCCTGTGTGGTATACAGGGAAGGCTGGGAGCTGAGAGTGGAGCACAGATAGTGAGAAAGCCCTCTGGCATTCCAGACACCACCCTGAGAGTAAGGCATCAAAAGAGGAATTTAAAGCCTATGGTGCACCAAAAGTAATCTTGGCAATAGCAAACTTAAATCCAGCTCACCTTTTAACTAGATTAACTCAATTCACCATGCTAACTGCCTGAGAAGAGGTGTGTCCACTTCAAGGCACTAATACTATTTACCTAAATCTCTCCTGTTCTATACAAGATGTTTGGCATTGAACCAAAAATTATAAGATGTGCCAAAAGAAGAAGACCACATCAACCACCCCTGACAAGATACAAAGTAATCAACAGAACCAGACTCAGAGATGACCTCGATGTTAGAACTATCAGAGAGGAATTTTAAAAGGCTAGAAGTAATATGTTAAAGGACCTAATGAAAAAAGGTAAACAACATGCATGAACAGATAGGAAATTTCAAAAGAAAGATGAGAGTGATAGTCCAATAGAAATGTTAAAAATAAAAAATACTGTATCAGAGATGAACTACTCCTTCTACAGGCTCATTAAAAACTTGACACATTGGGCCAGCCCCGTGGCGCACTCGGGAGAGTGAGGCGCTTGGGTGCACAGTGGCGCTCCCGTCACGGGTTCAGATCCTATTCAGGGATGGCCGGTGCACTCACTGGCTGAGCGCGGTGCGGGTGACACCAAGCCAAGGGTTGCGATCCCCTTACCGGTCACGAAAAAGACAAAAAAAACCCAAAACTTGACACATCTGAGAAAATAATTGATTACCTTAAAGATAGACCAACAGAAGTTACCCAAATGAAACACAACTAGGAAAAAAAAGTCAGAAAAAAATTGAACAGAGAATCCAAGAGCTGCAGGACAATATCAAGTGGTTTAACACACATGTTATTGGAATCTTGGAAGGAGAAAAGAGAAAGAAAAAGTAGAAGAAATCTTTGAAGAGGTAATGGGTGAGAATTTTCCAAAAGTAATGAAAGACATCAAATTACAGATTCAAGAATCATAGAGAATTTCAAGCAGGATAAATACCAAAATAAAAACATCTAAGCAGAATAAAACACACCTAAACATATTATATACAAACCTTTAAAAGCTGGAGATAAAGAGGAAGGCTTGAAGGTGGCCAGAGAAATGGACACATTACATATAGAAGAACAAAGATAAGAATTACAGCAAACTTATCACGAGAAACAACTTAAGCCAGAAGGCAATGGATTGACATCTTTAAAATACTGAAAGAAAAAAAAAGGAAATTCAAAATTCTGTACACAGCAAAACTGTATTTCAATAATGGGTAGGGAAGACTTTTTCAGACAAACAAAGGCTGAGAGAATCTATTGCCAGCAGATCTGTGCTACAAATAACATTAAAGGAAATTCTTAAGGCAGAAGATATAAGACAGGGATTGGCAAACTATGGCCTGCAGGTCAAATCCAGCCTTCCACCTATTTTGTAAATAACATTTTATTGAAGCACAACAACACTTATTTATTTACATATTATCTATGGCTGTTTTTGTGCTACCATGATAGACTTGTGGGATTACAAGAGACTGCATGGTGTGCAAAGCCTACCTTATTTACTATCTGGTCCTTTACAGAAAACGTTTGCTGACCCCTGGAATAAGATACCAGACAGAAACTACACAAATAAATAAGGACCTTTGGAACTGATATCAAATAAAATAAATATAAAGGACATTTAAAACAACTCCTAATCACCTTAAAAGGTAAATGACTGCTAAAGCAAAAATAGCTCATTCTGAGCTATTGTGTAGGGTGAGGCATTTTTCTACATATCAAGATGACGTGAATGAAAAAGAAAGAAACAATGTTGTATTAGTCCGTTTGTGTTGCTATAACAAAATACCTGAAACTGGGTGATTTATAAAGAAAATGAGATTTATTGCGTACAGTTTCTGAGGCTGGGAAGTCCAAAGTCCATCTGGTGGTGGCAACAGTGACCCAGGGATCTCACATTGCAAGATGGTGGAAGCAGAGAGAGAGAGAGACAGACAGACTCTCCTGTTTTTTTAAAGCCCTCAGAACCATGCCCCTGACCACCATTTTTAATCCATTCCCTAAGGCATGGTCCTACAATCCAATCACCTCTTCAAGGCTCCACCTTTCAATTACCATAATAGGATTTCCCACCCTCTTAACAGTTACAGTGGGGGCCAAGTTTCCAATACATAAAACTTGGGGGACACAATTCAAGCTTCAGTGAGTTTCAGGGGGACAATTCCGTCCTCTGCAAATGTATAGCCTGCTTAACATAATTCCATTGGCACCTTTTCCATCTCTCCTGTTTTAGATGTTCTCACTCGAAATTTTCCTTCTCTTCTTCCTTCTGTAACTAGTTCAGGGCCCACCACTACACATCTCCACTTCTCTCAGCTTTTCTAATGTCCCAGTAAAGACACCTTTACTCTCTCCAGCTATGAAATCTTCTTTTACCCTGGCTGTTTGGTTCTAGTAGATAAGATTTGTTAACTTTGAGATCCTACTAAACTTTTCTAATCCTGTGGATCTGAGAGGCCACAATAGACACAGATATGGTTCTAGCTATTGGGGGTTACCTTGGCATCCAATAATATGTCATCCATACAATGAAAAAATAGCAATGCTTGAGCTGGGGAGGGTGCTTATCTACGTTAAATGTACTTAGCTTGGATTCCTAGGAAGTTAATTTTACCACTAAGGGGAA